GTGGGTCAAATCTTGGTTGTATTAGAGCACAGGGTCGTGATCATCGTAGATACCCGCCCATGCCCGCATCGGTGCCACCTCCGGTACAAGTTGATGTCCCCCCACCCCCCACCACATACGAGAGAAAGAAAAGCAAGAAGGTTCGGCAAAGACCCAATGTGCCCGAGATAACGTCGTTGGAGGCATGGAGAGTGCTGCCCCCCTTGGTTGTGACACACGGTGGCGATCCAAGCTCACATCAAGATCCCCGCCCGAGCCAATCCTAAGATCCCCGCCCAAGCTACTCCCAAGATCCCCGCCTGAGCTACCATCATGATCCCCACCCTAGCTCATACTACGATCCCCGCCCGAGCTACCATCAATCCCCTCCGAGCTACTACCACGATCCCCGCCCGAGTCCCTACAATGATCAACGATCGGGCTCCCTATATGATCCCCGCCCGATCTCATACCACGATCCCTGCCCACCATACTATGATCCTCGCCCCCATACTATGATCCTCGGTCGATCTACCCCCAAGATCCCCGCCCCAACTTATTCAACAAACCCCCTACATCCTCGTGTACTTGGCATGATGGTTGCTCCACGACTGTGCATCACGACTTCAATCCTATTCCTCGCCCTCATCAGCCGTGGCCTCCTACTCCTCACCGTATGAGCGTGGATGTCCCCCGCTCGACCCCAGAAGCACCGCCTACCACGGATCGACGCCGACACAGCACCGACGAGCGCCCTAACATGGCCCATTGAAACTTGCCACCGCAACCACCGATGGCTACTCCCGTCGGCCGTCGAAGAAGGAGCAAGAAAACTTTGCAGCCCCATGAGTCCCATGGACTTCCTTGAGATGTATTTTTAGTTTATCATTTTAAGTGTTGGTTTTAGTTATGTTTTAATTATATGTACTTGAAACCCTCCCACCTATTTTAGTTTATTTAATTGAGTGTTGTTTTAGTTTTTTTTTAGTTCTATGTACTTGGCTTTCTCCATTTTTTTCGTGTTAACTTAAGGCTTGAGTGTTAATTGAGGGTTATTTGCCAAACACGCAAGTTCCAAGCATCATTACTCTAACTCCGACAATAAGTGAAAACATACATAACAAGTACCAACAAATGATAACCGCAAACTATGTCGCATTAGCTGAGTCCCCCACATAAGGACCCGGATTTGGCGGACCAATCGGACCTGGACAACTTCGTTTATCATGCCCTGGAACTCTACATACTGAACATCGTCTTGGGCCTCGTGGTGGTCTTCCACTTAAACCATTTCGTTCTGAATTCTCTTTTTCCTCGGCCGACTCGGTCTCTGTCCGAACGGCGGGATGATCAACTTTCCTTCGTACACCGGCCAATAAGCTTCATCAGGCAATGCACGGAAACTCCGTCCATATCACTTTTTGAGTGAGTCGATATTGAATAATGGACTGATGAAGTGACGGGGGTCTTTTCTCCTGTTTTTAATTACGGCCATTGCATGAGAACATAGCCACCCTCTCCCCTGATACTTCTGGCACTAGCACTCACCAAGTTTTGTCCTAAAATTGATCAAAACTTCATGGCGATGGCCCCCACGTCTACCATCCTCCCGATGTCCGGCCATCACGCTAAACTCGCCATTTGCCCGATTCATAACTGTTACACTGTGTCGACTGCTCTTGCGATTGTCATTCTCCATTACTTCGGTGACTTTATAGGCATGGACCTTTCCCTATGCCTCGTTTTTCCTTGCCTAGTGGATTCGATTGACGAACCATGCATTCATTTTCCAGAAAGTCATCTCCACAATGGCAGAGATTGGCAGTGAACAAACACCCTTGTAGGCAGAGTTGATACTCTCACTTGAGTTCGTTGTGGCAATACCCCATCTTGTACCTCCGTCTTTATGAAATGTCCACATGGATAGGTCGTGTCCATCCAGCCACTATGCCCCTTCAGGGCATAACTCGTGCATCTTCTGCAACTTCTCCTGGAATTTTTTCTCTTGGTATGCAACAACTAAGGAACACACAGAAAAGTATTACGTTAGTCATAATTCGGCAATTTAGTACAATTCGAACAACCAGCAGGTACTCTCATTAGACTCTTAGGAGATGTATACATCTCCTTAGAAACATAACCTGGTTGACACAAAAAGGGGGGATTCGAGGATCGCTTAAAACCCGATTTTTCCATGAAATGGGAGGAGCATGATAATCGCTTAAAACCCGATTTTCTTATGCATGCATCTCTTTAGAAAGAGTCTAACAAGTGTACCATTTATTTGATATAAGATATTGTTATTTGACAAAATTAAACAACCAATAGAGAGCTTACCAATCCACCACAAATTATCAGCAAGCTTCCTCCGCTTGAAATGATGGTTCCAGTTGCTCTTGAAGTGTCGTATGCACCACCTTTGGGACGACTTCTAGGCTGGATCCAAACCTAAGATGGCAGCTATAATGCCGGTGTGCCGATCAGAGGTTATTGTCAGGTTCGTCCTCCTAGGGATGTGGAGCTGAATTTTCCGGAAAAACCATCCATAGCTATCAGCATTCTCTCCCTCAACAATGGCGAAGGCTAAAGGAAGATTTTTTTGTATTCATCTGCCCCACTGGCAATCAGGAGAGTGCCCTTGTACTTGCCGGTAAGGAATGTACCATCCACTTGGATCACGGGGTCACAGAAGCCAAAACCATCAATAGATGACTTGAATGCCCCAAAAAGTCGTCTGAAATGGCGTTTATTACCTGACTCTGGCGGTTGTATCTCTTCATCTTGGTATCGAGAGGAGAAAACAGTGCCAGGGTTAGACGCCTCCAATGCCAAAATCAACCTGGGAAGGAATGCATATGATTCTTCCCAATCACCAAATACGGCGGCCAGAGCTTTCTATTTTCCATGCAACGCCTTCTTATAGTTAATCATATAACCATAACGACTTGCAGTGTCAGCGATTATGACTTTCACCTTCAGTTTAGGATCTTGCTCAATTAGATGCTTGATAGCCGCAGCAACCACCCTGGATTTCAACTGTCGATGGCCTTGGGATGTTATGGATGACACACATGTGTGTGTGTGTTCACCGCACGGGATATGACCCAATGGACGTGTCTCTTGCTGTTGATGGCCCGAATCCTAACATTGCATCCCTCGTTATGATTACGGCATCTGACTATGAGCCTTTTGTGTTGGAATGAGTTGTGTGCCATTCAAAATGTTGATTCATTGCTTCAGTATCAATGGCGTGCCGCACCTCCTTCTTCGAGCCAAATTGGTGGCCCTTCATAAACCCAGTGAGTAGACCCCATACTGGAACCTCTGGCAGTTCCATGTCGATGTCAACCATCCAATTGTCGTATGGAATGTGATTGTAGTAGGGGACTGGTACACGGCGGTCACGAGCCACCTCATCATCATTATCTGAGTCTGACTCTGGTCCTGAATCATCAACACCTTCAAGAGGGTCGAAGCTGTCTGCGCTGACGTTGTTCTCTCCTTCTTCATCGAAGGGGTCACTAACTGGTGCTGACAGGGCATCTTTCATCTGATCTAGCTCATGAAAGGCACCTTCATCAGCTCCATAATGTTAGTTGTGAAAACTACAGCTGCCTGATTAGAAGTTGTACTGGGGTTGGTTGGCATGGTCCGGTTGAACTTCTTTTTTCATATGAAGGGAAAGATTGATGATGACCTTCACCTTGCTCTTGGTACTGAATTTAGGAATGAGGATCATGGTAACTTTGGTAGGGATGATATCCATATAATTCACCTCCACCATGGATACCAGATGTTTGACCGTCTCCAGAATGACCTCCAACACCTACGACCGCCTCGGTGTAAACGAACATCTCGGCTTTGGAAAGATTGTTGGACCTCAAGAATTCGAGCATGTCATCTACTTCATCCTGAGTGGTTATGAGATATTACTCGTGCAACAACAACCCGCCTTCTCTGTTTGGATATCGGTACACCATATGATCAACTCTTCTCGTGTCATCCATGCAAGTAACGTTAGTACAGATTTGATGGAGGTCTTCAAGCATCGGTCTGGTAGCGGCCATTATTTTCTGAAAATTGCCACCAACATAGGTGACCCCCTTTATGGTCTCTTCCGTGTAACCATTCCACCGTAACCCAAGCGTGAACTTTTGGAATGTCATCTGCAAAAAAAACCGTAGTTCAGTTAATATCATAAAAATCACCAATCACAATTAAAAGTAATACAAAATAAACTTACGAGTTAACGTTAACTGCAAAAAAACTAAAGAAGTAGAGAGCTACAACAGAAAATTGAAAAGGGAGAAGGAGAGATGTGAAGAGAAGAGGTTTCCCGGGGCTGTCTTTTATAGGCAACATCATCAATGAAAACCGCATGGGGAGGGTGCGGTTTTCATCTGCCATGCAGCCCCACGTCTGTCAACATGCATGGCAATATGTTTAATGTCGGGAAAATGGGGTCGACACACAAACCGCATTGGGGGGGGTGCGGTTTTGCTAGGTCAGCCCAAGAACCGCACTTAGGTCATGCGGTTTTGTTAGGTCAGACACGAAACCGCATGGCCAAGATGCGGTTTTGGCCCAAAACCATAAACCGCACCTTGAGCGTGCGGTTTCAAAAAAAGGGTGTTATTTTTGTAATTTTTGTGGGCTGGATGCTATTTTTTAAAAAAAAAAATAAAGGTGCTATTTCTGGAAAAATCCCAAGTTATAAGCTAGTTAATTAGAAAGGGAGATGGAAGGGGTACGTTTATGGAAATGTGGTGAAGTTAAGCGAACGAAAGAACCCTTTTATCCGCATCCAAATTAAAAGAAGACGCTTCGATTCGGTTAATTAGGAACTTAATCAAGCCGATACAATTGGCCTTGTTTCGCTCTTTTCATGATTTCATCATTAATTATCCATTGATTAAGTAGTAGTCCATTGATATTCATTCCCCTGCTCTTTATAAATGGGGACGTCCGATTCGAGATGCCTGAACTCTACACCTCTGGCAGTAGTCAGAAGAAAGAGAGATATGGCGTCAAGCAACAGCGTGAAGATGAAGTTGAAGCTGATTGTGGACAAGAAGAGAAACAAGGTGATTTACGCAGAGGCCCAAAAGGACTTCGTGGACCTGCTGATCTACCTCCTCTCCCTCCCCTTAAGCGCTGTGGTAAAGTACTTGGACAGTACAACCGTCCCAGGCAGCATAGGAAAGCTCCACCGCAGCGTAGACTCGATCATGAAGGCGGGCTACATAAAGCCTTCGCACGATGATAAGAAGCACTTGACAGCTGCTGGTTATAGCTCCATCCTCGTCCCTCACTTGCTGACCCATGTCCCCATTTTACCCCGCTTGACCTCTGCTTCACCAGGCGCCGTGACTAGAACGCTCTACAATTGTCAGAAAAACCACAGGCATGTGAAGGAAATGGCAGCCTCCGTCTGGTGCATGTACTGCGGGACAGAGATGAACACTGAAGTGGAGTTCTCCGAGTCTTCGTCGACTCGGGTCGTGGTGGAGGCGGACTACGTGAAGGACATGGTGCCCTACATGGTTGCTGACGACTTGTCGGTCTCGCCTCTGAATTCTGCTTCTGTTTTTGCTTCTCTCGATGGCTGCCACCCGGGAGACATGGTGGAGGAGAAGGAGGTTCAGTTCGGGTCTTCTGAGGTGATCTCAATTTATGACTTGTTTGGTTTTTGCAGGCTCTGCAACTGCTTCTGTTTTAGCCAAAGTATCATCTTTTGGTTGTCTCTGCATATCTAGAGCACTTCTACTATGCTATATAGTATTGGTGCTTTATTGTACAACTTAAAGTTGTACCATAACATTAAATGTATAAGTTTAGGTTGTACCATAAAGCAATTTGTACCATTATGTTATGGTACAACTTTACAACTTGAAGTTGTACCATCACATAAAGGTACAAGTTCAAGTTGTACCATAAAAGAATTTGTACAAAAAGTATAGGTACAGTCTGAAATTGTACCATAACATAAACGTACAATTTTAAGTTGTACCATAAAAGCAAAATCCTATAACACCAATACTATATAGCATTGTAAAATTTCTCGCATATCTAACCTATTTCTTGTTTGGTTTTTGCAGGCTCTGCAACTGTTTGAATGCTTTCTTGCATTCCAAGGAACCTCTCACTGCCGTGTTTCTGAAGCCAAAGTGATCAACTGAAAGCATCATTTTATAATAAATTAAATAAGCATCTTGTCCTATTTCATCCGTTGGTTAATACTCTAGCTAGCAACACAGTGTCCCCTGTTAATTTCTATTTTACTATGCTCCGTTCCATTTCCTTGTTACTTATGAAGAGATTTACGATATATCAGCAGTTGTTTATGTAACCTATTACTCATGGATTGCGTTTTTTTTTTTTTTACTTCAATTAGTTGCTCCCAACTCAAAATCTCAATTGAAATTCTAAAATTTTATTGATGTTAAGATTTTACTTTCGAAACCTGATTTCACTATAAAATCTATGAATCTTAAAGTTTTATTCTATTCATTATTTAAATCCTTAGCACCTTTAAAATTTTAGGATTTTAACATTCAAATTTTTGGGTCAATTTTACTTATTTTTTCTAGAATTTACAAAATTACGCCTCTTTTCCTTCTCATCCACCAATATCATCTAGTTATCTCATACTAACCACCATCGGCCATCATCAATTCACATCAACGTATTAATCACCATCGATTCATTGATTACCAACATTGCTTTTATAAATTGGAATACTAACCTTGAGAAACTATCATTATAAGTGTTATGTATTCATCTAGTTATCTCATACTAACCACCATCGGCCATCATCAATTCACATCAACGTATTAATCACCATCGATTCATTGATTACCAACATTAGCTTTTATAAATTGGAATACTAACCTTGAGAAACTATCATTATAAGTGTTATGTATTTTTGTGTTATTCATGATTTTTCTTATTAATATTATTCCATTGTCGAATTTTATATGGACCTTAAATCCTACGATTTTCAAATTCGATTTTACAATCCCAATTTTACACCATTTGTATGTAAAGTATCGATTTTGAATGCTATACTCCCAAGTAACAATTTATTCGCTTGTTCTTATAAACAAGGATTCAAAATTTGAAAATGAATCGTCGAATGAAACGTGATTGAAATACGCGTGATCAGCCAACTTCTAGTTGAATAGTCGAAAAACTCACAAAGATTGTCAATCTATAAGAATTAGAAAATGACAAAAGAAATAAAAGAAATGGAAAAATATACATAAGTATGTGGCATAGCAATATGCCACTAAAGTTTATGCAAATTAAAAAAAAAACTCTTAATTAATAGTAAACCCTAAGCCATGGCTTTTATATAAGAATTTATGACTTTACTACAGGTATAATGTTTCCATCTCATTCCGATAAAACCACTCTCATCGTTGAATCTTCAGTTCATCGACCATCGACTCTTTTTTAATTTTTCCTTGTAATTGTAACCCGCAAAATTTCTTCTACTTTGTTGTATCTTGTTGTTTCCCGAATTCATATTCTAAAAGAATATAAGCGTTTGTTCGACTCCTTAGTTTGTATTGAATTCGGTCCCCCTAATATTAATTCATTGTTATTAATAGATATAAACACGATGATGATGATCATCATCATAATACGATGATAATAATAATAATAATAATAATAATAAATAACAATGATGATGGATTTAACTTCCATTGCACATACAGAAGGAAGTTAACACAATCGATACTTGTTTTAATTGAACACTCTCTCTCCCCTTTTTTTCCTCTGGCCTCTCTCTAAAGGTTCCCAGCCGAGTGGGCTGCTGTCGGCGCCTCCCCGGCGACCGGCAGCAGCCCGCCCCCAGTTCCATTTTCCCAGCTTGTTTCCTGCTTTTTCTTTCTTCTTCTGCTATTTCCAGCCATTGTGGCTTTGCTTTCATGCATGTGTCTTTCCCCCTTTGTGGATTGAGTTCCTTCCCCTGTATTGGGTTGATTTTTGTCCCTCTGTTCTGATGATTCAGATCTGGAGATGTTGATCTTTCGAAGATGCAAGGAGGCTAGATCTCTGGCTTGTCTTCTCCTTTCCATTCCATAGTCTACCTCATTGCTCTCACCTTGCAGATCTTGGTGGTTCGGAGTTGCAGCCTTGGGCGACCGATGCGGATCTGGAGAGTTTGAAGACAGAAGATCGTCTCCCCTTTGTTTCCTCAGTCGGACGACCGATCGTGTGTCTGAGGTCCCATGGTTTCGAGAGGCGGGAGGCAGACGGCCGATTGGCTCGAGGTGGTGTTGTTTGAAGACTTGTCTTCATCTTCCTGCCATCCGGGTTGGTGGAAACCCCTTCCTCGGTCTGACGGACGGGGGCGATGTCCTCGGCGAGTGACGGCGGCGCATGGAGTCGGCTGTGTGGCGGCTGCGGTTTTCGATCACGGCGGTGGGATCCAGAGGGGGGCAATGGCGGCTAGGGTTGGGAGCTGGGAGATTGGTTTTGGCCCATGACTTTGGGCCCTATTGTGGTTCAGGGTTTTTGATGGGCCTTGTTTTCTTTTCAGATTTTCAGCCCTTGTCTGTTTGTTGTGTGTTTCTTTTCCTTTGGGCCCAGCCCATTGCATTCTTAATGAACCTCTCTTTTCAAAAAAAAAAAGCACATACAAAAGAATGAACTTCGTAAGATGCTAAGAAAGTTGTTTACCTACGTCCCCATTTTGCGCAGCTGATTCCCAGCCAAAATTTTAGCAGACAGCTCTACAGCTGCAAGGACAATCGCAGGCACGTGAAGTGCGGGCTCGACAAATGTACTAGCTGTGTTTACTGTCGTGGGGATATGAACGAGGTAGTGCAGTTCACCGAATTGGTCGCGAAGGAAAAGGTCCAGTACATGGTTGCAGACGATCTCACGGTGTCGCCGCTGGATTACAAACTCTGTTCTGGCTTCTTTCGAGGGTTTTGATCGGACTGATCGAATTCGAGTCCGACGAGGCTCTGGCATTGCTGGATGCTACCTTGCACTCCAAGGAACCTCTGACGAGCTTTTTCCTGAAACCTGAACCAGCCTCTACCCCTCCCTCAGCAAAAAGTTGATGAATTGAATGAGTCTTATCTATCTAATCTACTGCAGTTTGTTCTTTTAGTTCCTGGGTTTGTTTTGTTCCCTTATGATGTCCTCTGTTTCTTGTTTCTGTTCCCAGTGTTTTAATGGTGTTCTGATTCAATGCTACGCATGGAGAGGCTTGTTACTGTTAATTATATATTATAAAGTATCAATTTGTAAATAGCCTAAGTGGGTTTCGGCCTAGGTTTAGGGTTCTAAACCTATATATATTACCTGTGTATCTTGTAGAAAGGTAACAAAGCAATAAGAAGCAAAAACCTGTGAGGGAGATCGTCACCGTGGACCAGTGTCATCTTGACGAAACCACGTTAAAAAACCTTGGTGTTCTTTGATCTTTGCATATTTTGTCATGGTATCAGTTGGTCCCAATAACTCGAGTTGTTGGGAGAAGGTTATGTTGGATCTTATAGCACTCTCTAACACGCCCCCTCAAACGAAAACCAACTCACGGGCTTGAAGTTTGCACAAGCCCACCATACCATTTGCTTGAAGACAACGGTTAATATTGGGGGTCGTGAAGATTCGAACACACGACCACTTGGCCAAACCAGCTCTGATACAATGTCAAGAACCAGTTGGTCCCAATAACTCGAGTTGTTGGGAGAAGGTTATGTTGGATCTTATAGCACTCTCTAACACGCCCCCTCAAACGAAAGCCAACTCACGGGCTTGAAGTTCGCCAGCATTTGCTTACTGGTCAGCCTAAATCAAAACGAGAAAAGCTCATTCACACAAGTAGGGGGAAAACCAAAAACCTAAAGTTCCTTTCACATTGTAAAGCTCTAAGGGGTCGTTTGGAGGTTGGGATTTCAAGTGAGGTATTTAACCAATACTATTGTAATAGTAAGATTAAGTTGTTTTTTTGGTTTAGTTTGAGTTAGAATGAATGTATTACCTTTTTCCTGAGCCCACCTATAATCACTCAAAATGAATTATTGTCAATCTCTACAAAAATGTGAAATTGTTAACAATGGATTGTCTAGACCATTTTTTGCTCAATCATTGTCCCTCCAAACAAAGTGTTTTCTTAATACATGCATTGAATCAATACATCAAATGACAATTGTAAAGCTCTAAGGGGTCGTTTGGAGGTTGGGATTTCAAGTGAGGTATTTAACCAATACATGTAATAGTAAGATTAAGTTGTTTTTTTGGTTTAGTTTGAGTTAGAATGAATGTATTACCTTTTTCCTGAGCCCACCTATAATCACTCAAAATGAATGATTGTCAATCTCTACAAAAATGTGAAATTGTTAACAATGGATTGTCTAGACCATTTTTTGCTCAATCATTGTCCCTCCAAACAAAGTGTTTTCTTAATACATGCATTGAATCAATACATCAAATGACAATTGTAAAGCTCTAAGGGGTCATTTGGAGGTTGGGATTTCAAGTGAGGTATTTTATCAATACATGTCATAGTAAGATTAAGTTGTTTTTTTGGTTTAGTTTGAGTTAGAATGAATGTATTACCTTTTTCCTGAGCCCACCTATAATCACTCAAAATGATTATTATCAATCTCTACAAAAATGTGAAATTGTTAACAATGGATTGTCTAGCCCATTTTTTGCTCAATCATTGTCCCTCCAAACAAAGTGTTTTCTTAATACATGCATTGAATCAATACATCAAATGACAATACACAAATTGATTGAATACATCTATTTGGAGAATCTCAACCTCCAAACATGCCCTTAGTACTTTAGTACTTTGAATTATTGTCGTTTTATTATTATTAGAATTATTGGGACTATTCGGAAATTGGAGAATAATTGATAAATCGGGTAGCAGTAGAAAATTAGACATTTTTATATAAACTACTTGTACGCAGCATTAGACCACTGAGCAAGATTAAACCTAAAACCTAATATTCAATTCCCTTCCTCCCTCTTCCTCCCTCTCTGCCGTCCCACTCTCTTCTCCTTCTCTACACTCGGCTGCACAGCAGCAGCCTTTTCCCCTTCCCTTCTTCTTTTCCTTGTCCCCAAATCAATCCCTCTCCCTCCCTCATTTTCAGTGACACTCAGATCAATCCGTTGATCCCTCCTAATCCCAATCCCTAGATAGAACCCAATTTCCCGGACTCTATCATTTGCGGCCATTCAAACTACTCAATTTAAAAGCTTTCTACAGCCACAGGAAAACAACATATCCCATATTATGTTCTAAGAAGGAAAGGTCTTAAAGGAAGGCGAAAGGTTACTACTCACTAGCTGTTGGGGAGTGAAGATCCACTTGGCACGGTGAGTCGAGGTCTGGAAATCCGCCATGGCAGGAAACTCGGAATCACGCGGGAGGAAAGAGAACTCGGAACGCCTTCTTCACCGCGCTTTACCGGAGAATAGGGTGTTTAGAGGATCCCAAATTTCCTCCCTCGCCGGCGGATTCCCTAAAAAGAAAGATTGGTGCTACTCCGACGGAGAATGATCGAAGAACCGGTGAAGGTTACGGCGGGAATTTGGGTTTAAGAAGTAAGAACTAAGACTGATTCTTGAAGGCCCATTATGGACTAGTCCTTCTAAGAACATTGGTTAGGGCCTCGCGTCAGGCCCAACTCGCTTAAAGCAGGAAAGAGAACTCCAAAGAAAAGCCCCCATCACTTTCTTGGTGGACGAAAATAAAACGTGACAGTGGGTGGACGAACAATCACCGACACATAGAACGTCGTCGTACAGATGAATCCGGCGTCGTTGTTTATCAAGAAGAAAAGCCGGAAATATTCACAAAAAAAGGAAAAGAAGAAAGCCGAAAAGTTGAAAATATCATCGATCTATCAAGAAAAGGGAAGGGAAGGGAAGGAAGCTGCAAAATTTCCACAATCGGAGCTCCGATGGATCACTACAAGGTGCTGGGCGTTCATCGGAGTGCGACGAAATCGGAGATTAAGGAAGCCTTTCGGCGGCTAGCCGTCCAATTCCACCCGGACAAACATTCCCAATCCTCCGGCCAAGTGAGGGACAGCGCAGCTCTCCGCTTCAAGCAGATCTCTGAGTCTTACCAAATCCTCATCGACGATCGGAAGCGCGCCGATTACAACGTCCGCCGCTCCACCGCCCAACCCCGCGGCGGCGGAGGAGGAGGAGGATATGCCGGCAGCAACTACCACTACAACAACCGTTCATCGTCTTCTTCGTACGACGGCGGTGCGCGGGGACGGAACAGCAGTGGAGTGTCGATGCTGGAGGTCGCGATCCGTTTCATGACGACAAGGGCGTTCCTCCTGAACATGGCGTTCGCCGGGTGCCTGTTGGGCGGCGCGAAAATGATCGACGGCGGCGGCGAGAGGATGTGGAAGCGGTGGAATTCAGGGAAATCGTTCGAGGAAGCAATGGATTCGGTCGAGAAGGCCAAATCGCGGCAGCGGCGAGGGCTTGAAGACGGCGATTGAATTGGGGGAAGGGAACTTAATTGAGTTTATTTATTCGCACATTTAGGATTCGTTTGGAAATTGCTATTGTTTAATAGATGTACGGTTGAGAATGCATGTATAATATTATACATGTATTGTCAAATTTGATGCATTGTAGAATACAACGTTTGATATGTGTGATTGTGTATGTCGCATCAGCTAAAGGGTCGTTTGCTTCAAGGATTTAAAAATGAGGGTTTTTTAATTTAAAAACCAAAGGATTTATCAAGGATTTGAGGCATCATGGATTTGTAACAATCCTTTGTTTGTTGGGATGTTTTTATCATGTATTTAAAGATGTGGGATTTATTACTTGAAGTCAAAAATTACATTACTGCCCTTTTCTATATGCTTGACATGTTTATGATATGTACACAAAACAAGGACAAAACTTCAAAATTACTTTACTATCATTTTCTATATGTTTGACATGTTTATGATATGTACACAAAACAAGGACAATACATACTAATAAGCATAATGTTGCCACATGGACAATAATAATAAACGAGAAAATTATGTTTTAACTTTTAACATAACATAATCAATTACCAATTCTTTGTCCTCCTTTTCAAAAGTAACATATAACAACATATATTAGAATCGGGAGAACAAAGAATTACATGTTCCATGAAAAGGTCAAAGAAAACTAGAACACAAGAAATGATATAAAAATCTAACTCGTGTTTGCAATTAATTGAACGTTTATATTATTCATTGCTAATTATAATGGGTAAAATCTCATCAAGGATTTATGTCATATTCCAAATCCCACATCAACATGTGGGATTTATAAGTCCGTGGAGTCCACGGATTTGGACCCTTAAAATCCGTGGGCCCCACGGATTTGGTCTCCAAAAAAGGTGCAAGCAAACAACGGATTGTACCTAAATCCTTGATAGTTGTTTTTTGGTACCAAATCCTTGAAGCAAACGACCCCTAAAAGTTGAGACAAAACAATCTCAACTCAACTATCTCAACAATCACAACTAAAAGTTGAGATATAACAATCACTCAAAATGAGTGATAGTTTCTGTCACATCACAGAAACAATCCATGTATTGTTACTGTTAAAAAAACAAAAAAACGATGCATTGTAAACAATACATGCATAATGACAATCTCAACAAAACTATCGCAACTTCCAAACGACCCCTTACTTGTGTAATTTTAATTAAATCTGAAGGGGAATCGACAATGTATGTATGCGGGGAAGGTTGTATCTTTTGTTATTTTCATTAACACCAAAGATCAAACTCTAGTGTTAGTCGTCTTTCAACCTCCAACTCGTCAAATTAAAAATTACTAATGACAAGAATTTGAGATGTCACATTTCCTCTATTCTCCTTATTCATATCCTAGTTTTAGGCAAACTCAAGACTTTTTGCTTATGGTTCGTTTGGATGAGTATTTGTATGAGTTATTTGGACACAAATAACTCGTTTGGCAGCGTTTTACTGAAATGAGTTATTTGGGCAGTGAGTTATTTACAAATAACTCAAAACGAGTTATTTACAGATAACTCATACACATGTGTTATTTCGAAATAACCCGTTTCACCACTCTGCTTTTATCAAATATCACATTTTGTATGGTTCAACCAAACGAGATACTTTATTTCAATCACCACTTAAATAACACAGAAAATACCACATTGACAATTAACACATCCAAACGACCCCTTAGTATTTTTTGCCATAAATTAAACAATAAAATCTAATTTATATATTTAATTATTAATTGCAAAGTTAATTAATTTCATATACGATAATACCGATTGGGGTACCGAAGTACTGATTGGGATACCGAAATATTTAGAGATTGAGATTGAGATTCCTCAAATTAAAGATTACCAATGACAAGAACTTGAGATGTCACCTTTTCTCCATTCTCCTTATCCATATCCTAACTTTGAGCAAACTCAAGACTTTTTGCTTAGTCTTTTTTGCCCTAAATTAAATAATAAAATCTCATTTATATATTTGATTATTAATTGCAAAGGTAACTAATTTCATATTCGATAATACCGATTGGAATATCGAAGTACCGATTGGGATAGCAAAATATTTAGGGATTGGAATTGGGATTGGGATACCAAAATTATTTAGGGATTGAGATTGAGATTACTTTTAGATTGTAATTCAGTATTCGGGATTTAGGTATTTGGTATTGGGATACTGATACCGTATCGATTTCCACCCTTATATGTATGCATGATTAGTTGATTTATGTTGGTTTATATGGTTGTGTCAATTTAGTAAGTGGAATGGTTTGACTAATGGTATAATCGATTTGTTTACGCCGACTTAATAAAATACGTAGAAATGTGTAAAATTATTAACATAAAATGAATTTAATCGGATACAAAAGATATTTGAAGACAACTTACTTACAATCATATTCATATTTAAATAAAGTACGATATTCTAAATAAAATAACAAATACTTATATTTAAATACAACATTTAACATATATGTCTAAACGTTTGTATTTGAATCCAACAAAATAACATAATTTTATTAATTAAATTTACTAAAATTACATTATTTTGCTTAGATGTCATAAATCGATCATACCGGTCATACCAATAATGGGCACATCGGTTTAATGAGAGACAAGATTAATAAAAAAGGCTAGTTGACAAGTTGGAATAATTTTGGGTTTGACGTAGGGATGGCAATAGGTCTGGTTGGGGCGGGTTTTGTCAAACCCAAACCCAAACCCATGGGTTTATCCGCCAAAAATACTCAGGGTAAAATCCGTTGGGTTTGAAAAACTCAAACCCAACCCAACCCAACCCGCTGGGTATCCGCGGGTTCATGGGTACCCGTGGGTTTTTGTGGTAAAAATTTACAATAACAAGTTTCATTCAAAATAAAATTTTAACATTAATTTTCTCATACAAAAAAACACCAATCTAGAGCATACAAGCAAACCGCAAATGATCAATACAAATTGTTCAAAATTAAAGATAAACATCTATAAACAATAAGATTAATTGAAAGCTTCTTACTCGTCAACTAAGTTTCTTCACTCTCCACTTCATAATATCAACTTCATTCTAAATAATTAGAAACAACAAATTATATATGTCTCCACAAACATAAATAATATTAATTGTTTAAGGAAGATATATTATTTAGAGTATTAAATATACCGGGAAAGTAATTATATGTGTGTGGGCGGGTATCCATGGGGAGGGTTTACCTAAACCCAAACCCAACCCGACCCGGTGAATAGTGTAGCGGGTTTAAACCCGAACCCGGCCCAAAACCCGTCAACACGGGTTTTACCCGCATTGACCGGGTTGGGTCGGGTGGGTACCCGTGGGTTCGGGTTTTGTTGCCATCCCTAGTTTGACGTGACATATAGAAGAAAAAAAAGTAGAACAAAAGATCGTTTTAAAAAAAGGTTCTGATCATCATAGGCCCACCACTAAAATCCCATTATGTTGTGGAGAACCTGAGAGTTGCCCTTCCAAATTGTTAGCCAGTTGGACTATGTGATCTTTGACGTCGTCACAGTTGCATTTGTATTAATCATAACGAAAGGTTGACTAATTCTTACTAAGCAGAAGACCATATTTCACCTATTGAATATTTTTCATCATTAATCATCATACTCTACCGGAAAGGGTAACATCTCTACACAATATATTATGCACTTGACTCTATGTCATTGTTGTCACCTTGCACTTTGATTGATTCTACTTATTTGGTGGAAGGACAATTTTGTCCATTTTTCAAAAGTTGATGTACTCAAGGGTCACTCATTATTATTGGACTTTTGGTTTTCTTTTTGTAAATGAGATCAGGATTAAGGGAAATGAATATTTGTTTTAAGATAAATAGTATTATAATAATTATTTGGACTTTGCTCTATGTAGATTTATTTTGAATGGTTGAGGAAAAATCAGAGGTTATCTAAAGTTGTTTAGCTCCACAATGAGATAATGATAGCGAATTGAATTTTGAGATGACGAAGTTGATATATTGTTGTGGCGTGGATGTTTGTGAAGAGGTTCCTTCTGAATAGATTTTTTCGCATCAGATTTTTACGTTATACAGATAAACCAAGTTTCAACCCTCAAAAGATTTAGAATCTTTATTTCACAGTGACTTTGGAAAACATGAACAGGAAGAAAAATGGGAAATCTTGGCAAAATACAATCAATTTTTATTGTTTTTAATTCTTTTAATTTTCAAATAAGCATGTCTAATTTTTCATGGTTCAAAAAGGCACGCTTAACCTTACGCCTAGGCGCAAGGCAATGGCAAAACGCCTCGCCTAAGGGTTTCGCGCCTAATAAGATACTAAAACATGTCAATGGAGTAAGTCGACATATAAGTCTCTCCTAAACATTATTAGACGGAGTTAGAAAGTCAATATTAAAGGAGAAAATTAACATCAACTACGAAATCAATTTTCTATGTCAATATTTTCAATAGCTTAAGAACTTTGCGAGCTATTGAGCCATGATTCTATGAATTCGTAAGCTATTTTTTGTCATTAAGTGTTGAGTAAGTTATTAATCATTTTAGCTTAAGTGAGGAAGTGTTGTAGATTATTATTTTATTCATCATGCAGTGCGAATAGCTATTGTTCTTCCAACGTCTAGGCACGCTTAGTCTACGCCTAGGCGAGCAAGGCGCTAGGCAAAGTCTCAACGCTCGCCTTACGCCTAGCGCCTTTTTGAACCTTGAATTTTTTACATTAAATTTCGAAAGGTACGATTACGATCATGTTTAGTCTTAGGTTAAATAATAATTCCATCCACATCGTATCGACTCTATATTTTTTTATGTGAAATACATAAATGCATTAAGCTCAAGCAAACCATCAGAAAAACCTGATGTGCCTCTCAAACTATACAACCAAAAATCACCCAGCAAAGGGCTATAACACTAAATAAGAGTAATTCTATAACTATAATCTATCTATATACTCCAACTCGGCCTGGAGAATAGGATCCCCTGTCACTCGATACAAGACATCGCTATGAATTTCATTCATCAACTCTCCTGGCAGCATGATGGACTTCTTGACATAGAGCCTGGTACATCGTTCTCGCCAATTATGGCTTAGAGTTGTACTCCATACAGTAACCTGCACAAACTGTGCCTTGGATTCTTCTTTA